TCATGGACAACAGTCAAGCGTGCTTTATTTTACTCTACCTCAAAAACTTCCTCATGAAACTTTATGGATTTACGGAAGCGTGAGTGGTGTAAACCGAATGAGTCGAATAAATATCCAATGAATGGAAGAAATCAATGTGATTTTTAGCAAAGTTCAAGAGTATTCTCCATCAGAAGCGGCTAAAGTTTACGAGAAGGCGTTATCATCAAGGAAAAACGTGCCAATGTTCAATCCACTTGCGGCTCTTGATGGAGGTCGCCATCGTGACGGCCATACTGATCCAGCAGCGAATGATCGACAAAGCATTCAGAGTCACTTCAATCTAGCGACGAAAATTTGTAACGTGAGTGCTATTTGGACTTTTTCTCTCTATTGAGGACCAGGGTACGACAGGAAGGTGAGGGTAAAAGCGCTTGAATATGTAAGAGCAGGTATAGAACGTTATTTCTCAGTCACGGCGTGGCAACAGAAGACAGAGTCGACGCGTACGTGCCAGCAGCGCGGCGCCCCTACCATGTTGAGTTTACTTGTTCCTAGTGCAAATCCTGCGCACGTCACCCCGCCTGTAGGCTTTTTTCGCCGCGATTGTGAAATGAAGCCTCACACCCGGAGGTGGTAACTGGGACGTGAAAAAAGCCCAGAGAAAACTCGAAAATATCCCTGGACAGAACCTCTGCAGTCCTGAGCATTGCACAACTTCCCGTTTGCTTGAAAATTACCAGACTGTGGGCTTCATTGCAAACGAACGAATAGAAACTAGTTGAAGAACCACTAAAAGCATTGGCTGTTTCGTTGCTTCCCTAGGCGAACCACTCTCCGTCAAGTCAGTTCTGAGTTGGTGGAGTAGACAGAATAACGATTCAAGGATGGAAGTGACGGAGATTCAAGGACAAACTCTGTCAAAAAGGCTCTGGAACGGGGTTGGTAGTGTAGTGGTAGCGTGTTGCCGTCTCCTCCCGCTCGCGCTGCCGCCGGCCACCCACACGTCTAACCAAGTCCAAACGCGCTACACGTCTGCACCTTCTCATTTCTGGCTGTTCTCTACCGCTAACTGCGTGTTTTGATGCAAGATCTTGCTATCGGCGTAGTTATGCATCTTAATAGCGGAGATGGCATTCGGGAACCATTACCTTCCAGCACCGTTCCCTTGCACTTTTGAGTGGAAAACTGGCATGTTACTGCAACTGAGGGCCCATTCGTCCCACACATGGCGAAGACCGTCATGGGAGATTGTGTACAGTCTTCAAAGGCAGTAAGCACAATAATTTGTTCCCCTGCAGAAAACAGGGCAGAGGCACTCTGTAGTACGACAGTAAGGCAAAAACGGGACGAAACCGCTTCAGTCAGGAAGTGTGCGAGTCTTTGCTTGAGATAAGTCATCGGTGGTCGAATATCAGTGTGTAAAAAAAATCACGGCGGCTGCGGAAACATGAAAATATTATTTCGAACAACAAACTTCTCAACAATGCCAAAAGGGGTCCTTGACGGAAGCAGGGACCTGACCTACTGACATTTCGATAGGCGGCTTTCGAAAATTCGCGGGAATCAAAAGAGAAATTCAAAAAAAGCAAATGAGGTTAAAAACTTCAGCGGCAACTGTTTGCAAGAAGGCCTTGCACTCTGTCAAGGAAGATTCTTACCAGATTCCGTTACCAGTAAGAACCTACATCTCCAAAAAGAACTTGAAGGTAAAGCGGCATTTAGCCGCAGATTGTGGGTGGTGATGAACTGCTGATCTGTGCGGCCATTTGTGGGCGTGCCGTTGTTGGAGGGACGTACTGTATGTTAAGCCTTGCTAGTAAGCTCCGAGACCGCTTTTTTTCAGAGGAAGACAGCATGCTAGGCTTCCTACGGGGCGCAGAATTCCTGGGTGATCGGCTCGTTCATGCTACATCTCAAGGGTACTCATCGTGCCCTTTGCCTTCAGGGAGGGGTGGCCGGGGGGTATGGAGTTGTAAGTCAGATACTCATGTGGAAGGCAGCATGAGAGCAGCGGCGTTCTCTGTTAGAGGAAGTGTCAAAGCTTCGGTTTTTACATTGCCCGTCATCATTGTGATAGCCTGGTGTCGCTGCGATTTTTTATTAGCAGTTCCACCAATCTTCACATTAGCCGCAGTCTAGAAGAAAGGCGTGAAATCAATCACTTCTGAACATAAGCAATGTGAAGTGGGTGGAAACCTTAAACCTGAGGTGGAGAGCTCGCTGTTTCGCTACCTTTCGGCGTCATTACCACACCTTTCCACGCGGCGACTGTGGCACCTTCTAGTCGACTATACCTACATGGGGGGGGGGGGCAAAAAAAGACACTTTGCACGAGGCACATACCCGTAAAGAATACGGAGTCCGGAGTAGAGTAACGATCCCTGCAACCGATAAGACGTGTGTCGCGGCGCGATATCAGAGCGCATTCCCGTCGGCCTTGTTCCGACAATGATGCTACCCGTGAGCCCACTACAATTGGTGGCTATGCTCCAAGCCACACTGCTGTCCTTCGTCCCATTGTTTGTAGGGTTCATCACTAATATTGGGGACAAAGTCTACTTCCCAAATAATGAACGCTGTGCCCTCAATGCGGTAATCAAAACTACACTACCATTCGAAATGCAGCTAAAAATCCTTGTGTAGTGTTGATGGGATGTATAATGCGTGTTTAGTTCCGAAAAATGTTGCTATCTTTGGATCGAATGGAGAACGATGGTGATAGCGATTATGAGGGAGAAATAAGTGTTGCTCCGAAAGACGACGATGAAAGTGCGGATGGATGTCTGGATGCATCTGCTGAAAATGATGTCGATATGTAGGCAAAGCACATCATCTCGAATGCACACACTTTATCTCATACGTAGTCTAGTGATCGTGATTGTGATCAAATTCTTCGGTCAGGGTCGATTCTATTTTGTTCTTTGTTCATAATACATCTGGCATTTTATTGTTTTCATACTGCATCGGAATTTATCTACTGACCTGTGTGCGGGAGCTCTTGTAAATTTACCACCATGTTACCTCAATAT